CCCCACCCAACCCCCTACCCTAGACAGGCCCGGCCCGGACAAATAAAGGGCCCTGTGCAAAATAAAATAGGAAGGCCTAGAATATAATCTTGTGGCCCAGCGTGATGTGATATTTTCATTTGTAAAAAATACTTTGTGGGTTTTTGTAACAAATTTTTCTGTAAAACTCTTTTTTGAGATTGAATTAGTTCTTATTCGTATGTTTCTTCATATTTGGATTCATATTATATAGTTCCAGGAGGAATTATAATTTATAAAATGTAAATAAAAGAATCCAAATATACGGAGTAAGAATTAACAATTACTTGATGTAATCAATTAAGGAAAAATGTTGGATAAAAAACACCAGAACTTTTCCATTCTGGCTGAGTGACTAATGCTCTGCGATTGCAAGTTTGCTACCTCTAGGTAAGTATGACCTTCACTTTTTATAATAATAATACGTAGTAATAATTTATATCACAAGCATGACCCAAGCTCTCTTCCTCGTGCTTGACTGCTTATTGAGAGGATTGACCGTCGAGTGCCGCATTTCAAGGGAATCAAGGCAATGGAAGTCGAATTCAGAGATTGACAGCAAATAAAATCAGAATAGAGAAGTTGTAGGCTAGAAGAAGAAATCGGATAATGGAAGGAATTGACGATGTTTATCCGTTGGATTACTGTAACATACTACGTACTACGTATTAACATCTCCTCTAGTCTCAATCGTTCCGTAATCTCCTCGAAAATCATCGTTGTGCCGCTTCGATTCTCCAAGTCTCCTCGAAAATTCCTCCCGTAATTTGCATTTACATGGATGCGGCGTACATGCTTGAAGCTGCTGCTCGGATATTTTTCCTAAACGATTGGGCCTAGTGTACAATACTACTAAGCTAAAAAAATATGGAGGCCCTCTTAATAGTAGAGGCCCTGTGCGCTTGCTCCAATTGCACCTGGGTTGGGTCGGGCCTGACCCTAGACCTTACCACCCCACCCCGACCATACCCCTTACCCCACTCCCACCTATAACTTCCCTACCCCGACCCCTACGAGTAGGTATGAGTGGGTATGAAGGGTTGTGGGGGAGTATGGGTAGAGTGTAAGATCGTGGTAAGGATAGGGGTCAAGGGTATGAAATTGGAGAACTGAGTGAAAAAATTGATGAACATGGAAAACTAAAAAATAGAAACAGAAAATTGGAGATAGAAAAACTGAAAAATAAAAACAGAAAATTGGAGAACGAAAAACAGAAGTAGAAAACAAGAAAATATCTCTGTTAATAAACAGGCCCTAAGCATTCCAGCGCAGCTGGTTCTGAGGTTATCGTGCTTAGTGGGAGGTCTCGAGTTCCGCTAGGCACATAAGAGTTTGAAACTCAATGGAGTGAGTTTCAGCCCTGATTACTCCAGGTCCCCCAACCCCCCAACCCCAGACCCCCTGAAGTAAAAAAAAATCCGATAGAAGAAAACTGCATGACTACATGAGAAGAAGAAAAGAACAATAGGCTTGGGATGAGTGGCGAGGAACAACGAGAGATTTTATTGGCTGGCGGTGCGGTTAATCGACTTGGAGAATGTCAACCAAGAGAGGGAGAGGAGTTATTCGTAAGACCGGTCAATGCAAGAATTATAAATAAATGACAAAGATGACCTTTGCAATAGAAAAGATAAAGCATACATAGTATGCGAACCCACTTCAAATATTTAATGAACTATAATTGGTCATCATATTAAAAAATAAACGTGGTTCTTAATAAACGTGGTTCGTAACGTGGGTCAAGTTTTGACATATTTTGTCATTCAAGTTTAAATATGTTTTCTGAATTATATTTTCTTGTTAATTATTTGTGGGATGTGATTGAGGGAGCTTCACAAAAGAAAGCTTGTGCCACATACCACCTCCCTGCTTGTACTTGATTAAAAAAGAGGCTCATTATTTTTTTAAATGAAGATGTTATAAAACACTCTTTAAAAAAAAACCAACCTTATTTATCTACATGTAGTGTGATGCAAATTTCCTTAAATTAAGATGTTTCATATTGCATACCTTTTCATTGAACGTTGCAGTTGTTTAGAATATTTTTAACTTGTTCTGTCATTTTCAATAAACAAAAAACAAAGTCTCTAGAGTTTATTTCAGTGGTTACTGATTAACATCCATTTGGCAAAAAGTGAAAGTTGAGCCTCCTTCCCAAAGTATCACACATTTCTTATTCCTCAGTTTCACTCCCACATACCATAATTCATATCATGAAAAATGAAGCTAATTCACATTTCTAATTTCACATTTTCTCTTTTATTTGACTGAAGCAAAAACTTCCACCGGGAGGCATATATTGATAGTTGAAGAGGAAGGATAATGGAAGGAACACAAGTTGAATAATAAAAATATACAGAGTATATAAAACGGTAGAATCTGGTAAGGGTGACAACTTTATCTCCCAGACTACATACGCTTGGTTTAAATCAAATTGAAATGCTTTTCAAAATTTTGTACCAAAGAGTATTTTTTAATTCATGCAAAATAAGTGAGTTTGGAGTTGCACATGTGTGTCTCCATTGCTATTTGTCCATATAAGTTTTATTGGATAAATCTTTCCTCCTCTGCTGATTTTATGTGATTGAGGTTAGTAACGGATCCTTATTAACCAATGATTTTAAGTTTTATCTACTTAACGGTATGTTAAGTTTATTGAAGCATAAAGATTTTGGAAAAGTTAGGCGTGTGATAAGGCCGGCAAAGACACTCAAAATCTGCGCCAATCACTTTGGTTCTTCCTACCATATCAATGCAAGAACATGCTAGCAATGAAAAGTCTTGTGTTTGGCGTGCTGATGATTTTGCCGATGGGGAGCTTGAGGAAGAGACTTTTTGCATCAGATTTTCTTCTATTGAGTATTGTAAATCTTTCAAATATAAGATTAATGAAGTAGCTGAAGATCAACAGAAGAAAGTGGGTGAAAGTGAAGAGGGAGTATAAATTATCTGATTGGATATTATAATCCAGTATTTGCATTTTGAGACTATTTAGGCTTTGCTTGCGAACACGGAAAAAAAAAGCACTTCCCACTTTTTGGCTTAAAAAAAGCTAAAACAAATGTGTTTTCAAGTAACAACTTCTACTTAAATTAATACTTAAAAGTTAAAAGTTAGAATCTGCTTTTTACTTTTTCTATTACACAGAATACACTTATTTTACCAAACACGACGAACTTTTACTTTTCAAAATCACTTTTTTTCAAACACTACCAACTTTTACTATTAATCATTTTTTCTCCAAATCACTTTAAAAAGTTAAAAGCACTTGGGAGTTGTGTTTGCAAACAAAGCCTTACTCCTGTATGGGGGCTATTATCAGAATTTTTCTTTGCAACATAGTAAGGGGCTCTGAAGTAGGCCTGAATGAGGGTTTCTTTAAAATGGGCTATTTATGCTCTTCCTATAAGACCCTTGATTTTCTCACTGAAAATATGCATTCAATTTTAGCATTTGTTGCATCCCTCTACACACCAAAAAAAGTGATGTACTACGTGAGTTTTAAAAAAGTAGTGCTCATTGTAAGAATTTACACTATAATTTGTTTTTATCATCAAAACAGACCTCTATTCATATCAAAAGATTCAGGATCATTACATCAAGCAAAGGGAAAATAAAACTGACACCAACTGAAACTCCAACAACTACGACTGTAACCCTATGGTGAGACTTTGAGACAGTCACCCCTGAAAGAGCAACATGAATCGCTAACCATGTAGTGGGCTTGACACAACCAAACTTGTTCCCATAGATCCAACCATACCCAATGACATAAATAGAGGCAAAAAACTCAAACAAATTGTCAAAACAAACAACAAAAATCGACACAAGAAAATAAATGACAAACAGATAAAAATTATTAAGAAAACCATCACGAATTCTAACACCTCATACATCCCATGGTGGTGGTTCAGGAGGAGGTCGTACCACCGGTACCATGCTAAATGATCCTCCATGACCTTTGGCTGCCAAAGACCATGCATCAATCCTCCGTCCCTGCATAACCAAACTCATTCCTACTCTGTGCGACCAGAGTAAACGGATAGGCGGCGCCGATCTCCCCCAACGACGACGACAACGCCACATCCTCGAACCATGACCGCAGCGCCGGTCTCCTCGAGCCATGACAGCAAATCTGCCCTCCTCCACCGATTTCCGCCCTCCGCGCTTGACCTGGACTCCAACCGAGCACCGGCGACACAAGGGAAGCAAAGCCGATCTTCGACAAAGTCGAAATCGGAAAGAAACTCCAACGGCCGACAAAGTCGAAATCGGAAAGAAACTCCAACGGCCGACAAAGTCGTAGCCCTAGAGAGAAAACCCAACTCCAACGGACCACGGCCAGATAGCCGAACAAAGACGACCGATCTTTGATCAATATGATCGAAATCGGAAAATTAACCTAGATGCAAATTACACTACTGTAATTGAAAATATGCATTCAATTTTAGCATTTGTAGCATTTAAATACGTGAGTACTAGGTAGGTAGACTCATTCTTTAATCCAATATGGAAATTGTGTAAAAAAATGTTTGTAGTTTAAAAATAAAATAAAATTATATTGATCAACAATACTTTACTCGATCAATCCTACCGAAATACTATTGGGCATTTTCTTCCCGCGCATCGCGCGTCGAAATACTAGTAATAATAGTATTCTAAAAATAATAATTTCATACAGAGTACATATTATTGTAATATTAAGAAAGTTTTTGGTGACCCATGAACACCCTCTTTGATAGACAAAAATTGTAATTCAAAAATCAAATCTTTATTTTGGTAAAACTCATGTGGTTAAACAAGGTATAATTTATTTAAAAAAAGGTTGATTGATGTGTAACTTTTAAACTTTTTACATTTGAATAATTTAATAAAATGTTGTAAATGCTTTTTTTATTTTCACCAAGGGAACATGGGTACTGTTGATATTAAATTAGATGGTGGGTATTCTGCGATTGGTGATAAAGGTGATCTCGGATTCATTGACATTGAGAACTATAAATCTCGTGGCAGCTATGCTCTAGATGGAGAGAGTGAGATAGTTCAAATATCTGCTCCATTTGCTTTGGTAAATGGAAGACCAGTGTCTGGCTGTGTAGGAGAAACAATTGTAAATGCAACCACTGTAAAAAATATTACAGATGACTCATTGGATTTATCATCAATAAAGATTTATGACTCGAAACCTGAGGATACTTTCACACTTTCTTTGATGGAGCCTCCAACAGCAACTTCTGATGTTGATTGTATTGAAGAATTTGTGGAAACCTTTAGTGTGGAGGATAAAACACTGAGGCCAGGGCAAACTTTAACTGTTTGGCTATCTTGTAAACCCAAGGAAATTGGACTGCACACATCAGCTGTACACTTTAATGTTGGTGATGAGACAATAGAGCGTCTGGTTTTTGTTTTGGCAGAAGACAAGGTTTCCCAGTCCTTAGTTTCAAACTGGGATAATATCCCACCACCTGAATCTGGTTATTATCATTGGGAAGATATCCCACCACATGCATCTGTTAATAATTGGAATACTATCCCGCCAACTGATGAATCTGGTTATAATTGGAAGACTTCCCAGTTCCCACCACCTGTTACCGATGAAAATGAAAGGTCCGTCGATGGCCGGAAGCAATACTAATAGTGGGAAAGAAAGCTTACTTGCAATGGAAATGAATTGTTTATTGATGTTAGCCTGCAATATTAGGCATTAAGGAGTTCCAAAGAAGTTGTTCTTTCTGATTGTCGTTGTAATTAAGTTGGGTCAGGTATAGCGTAAATTATACCGTACACCCGGTTGTACGGTGCTCACCGTACAACCGGGTATTTTTGCAATTAACTACAACTCCAGTGGTAAATATGATGTAATCGATCGGATCTTCTCTGTTGTGCTTGAGCTGTTGGATTGTGAGGGATTCGGTGGTGTCCAGGTGTTGTTCGCCGGTCGTGGGAGTTGATGAAGAAGCTGGATGCCTGGATAACTGGATTGATGTCTGCTCGCTGGCGTCTTGATGAAGGAGAATCAGGGGCGGCTTGGCCTTCTATCCAGCTAAATGCAAACTCTTCTGTCCAAAAAAAATTCCAGATCTCAAATTCCACTGACAATTTTTAGCTTTTCTTTTTTGAACGGTTGACAATTTATGTTAATCATCTAACATACTTTAATTATTTTAACTATCATATGATTTGCAATTTCATAGATTGTATTTTAATATTGTGAAAATATTTTCAGCTTGTTTATTACCAACATAAGTTTTATGTTACATTGAAAATGAGTATAGTGTTTATAGTATATGTGCATAACGGTTAAAAAGTTGAACATAAAAAATGAATGTTTGAGTACTTTAGAAAATTGAAATGAGCATACACAAATGAAAATTTGAGCACAGTAGAGAATTTAAAAGGGTTACACAAATGAAAATTTGAGTAAAATTTTATTAATATATTCCAATGCTCAATTTGTAAGTTACATATGTTTATCTGGTACAAATTTTATACTCATTTTAAAATGTCATATTAATGCATATTTCTAAAGTATGATGATGGAGTATATGGCACAGGAACCCCCGGCCCATAGACTCCTACTTCTCCCACACAAGTCCATTGAGCCCAGAGAACAACTCAGGCCCAAATGCAACGGCCCAAGCCTCAAAGTAGCCCAGAATACACACTGGGGTGCCTTCGGCCTCCTTGGCCGAAGGCTCCAAAACTCACAGGATAGCCTTCTCTGGCATACGAAGCTACTGGGAGAAAACGGCGAAAAACATGAGCCTTCGACACTATCAAGCCCTCGGCATCACAGAAGCCTTCGGCTGGACCAGGCCTTCGGTCACACAAGGCCTTCGGCTACACAGGGGTCCTTGGTCACATGGAGCTCTCGGCTACACAAGAGCCTTCGGCCGAACATGCTCAATCATCGAAGATTCCATTTGGAGACAACCAACCACCGCATTTAATGCCACGTCACATCCGCCAACCGCATTCAATGCGGTGAACGTACCACTGCCGGTGCCACCCGGCTGATGTGACCCCTCGGCCGTTGGATTACTGACACGTGTACTCTCATCGCATTTATTGCTGCTATAAATAGCAGCCCTTATTCACCTTGTAAACCACGCTGAGTTCATTTAATAAAATCGACTCTCTCTCCTCCTATTTACTCTGACATCTCTCTAGTTATTCCCGCAATAACCCCTCGGATAAGATACCCCCGGGTAGACGGTCCATCATATGATATCGATCAAATTCGCATAAAAGTTAGATTATATACATGGAAGCAGACCATGATACCCAATTGCATGTTTCATATTCTCAATAGAGGATGCTTGATGTTCAATGAAAATGTCTTGTTGCTCAACTAACAAAATTTATGATTTTCATATCATTGCTCATTTGGTAAGTACTTATGCTCATTGTATACTGGTGTTATGCTCATTTTAAATTGTTATATTAATGCATATTTCAAAAGTATCATATTTATTAAATTAGATTCATGATACTCAATTGCATGTTTTCAATACTCAATAGAGGAGATTTGATGTTCAATAAAAATGTCTTGAAGTTCAACTGAAAAATTTATGATTTTCATAGTAATACTGATTTTGTAAGTTACTTTTGCTCAATTGGTACTCACATTATGCTCAATTTTATAATACTCCCTCCGTCCCATTTTGGTTGTCCTACTTTCCTTTTTGGGTTGTCCCAAAATGAATGTCTTGTTTCCTTTTTTGGCATGAAATATGTGGTTCTTATTAATTCACTTTATTCTACTCAAATCTCAACCACAACTTTTACTTTTCAACCACTTTATTAATAATCGTGCCAAATTGAAAGTGGACAACCATTATGGGACGGAGGGAGTATCATTTCCGTGCAAATTTTAAAAGCTGCATATGACATTATATTCACTTATTGAATTAAAAGATATGAAGCAGAGATCATAATGCTCATTGTTAGATTCCCAATACTCAACAGAATAAGTTTGATGCTCATCAAAAGTGTTTTAATGCTATAGGTATGATGCACATTAAAAGTTCAGTAATGCTTGCGCTCATTTAACAGAAACTGTGATTTTTGTCTCAATAAAGGAGGTTTAATGATCAATGGAAATGTCATTATGTCAAACTAACAAACTTTACGATTTTCAAATCAATTGACATTTTGTAAGTTACGTATGTTCATTTGATAATGATGTTATCCTCATTTTATGTTCATCTGGGAGCAGAGATCATGATACTCAATTGCATCTGTTAGATACTCAATTGTTTAATGAAAATGTCTTGATGCTCAGCTAACAAAGTTAATGATCTTCATATCATTGCTCATTTGGTAAGTAATTCGTGCTCATTTTATACTGGTGTTATGCTCATTTTAAAATGTTATATCAGTGCATATTTAAATGCGCATTAATGAATTTTTAATGAGCAACAGACCTATACAAATGAGCATATGTAACTTACAAGCTGAACATTGATATGGAAGTTGTAAGTTTTGTTCGTTAAGCATCAAGACATTTTCAGTGAGTATAAAACATCCGTTATTGAGTATTAGAATCATGCGATTACGTATCGTGATTTGTGTTCTCATGCCTATAATCAACATATATGTGAATCTAATATAATATGTGCCTTTTGAAATATACATTGATATACATTTTATAATGAGCATAATAGAGGTACTAAATAGACACACATAACTTACAAAATGAGTTTTCAAAAATTCAAAAGCTCATATGTGTATGTTCATTATATTTAGGCATTTTACTCATTTGAATTTAAAGTGAAACTCATTTATAATGTGCTCAATATTGAATATGTAAAGAAAAAGAAAGAAGGAAACAACAAATAAAAGAAACAAAAAAAATAAAAAAGACAAGGGGAAAGAAAGGAAAAACAACTACCAATAAAAGTAACGAATGAAATAATAAAATTAAAAAGACAAAACAAAAAGGTAAAATGAACTATGGGGAGCAAATTTGACTCTACAATTCGGCTCTGCTACTGTAAAGGTAAAATGAACTATCAGTGGAAGAGGGAAAGTTTCATATCCGGGACACCTACAAATACGAAATCCCATCCAGCGGCATAAGAATACAATCAAGCGGATACGATTCAGCGGCAGTACTATTTTATTCAACGGATTTTGTCTCCCAAGTGAAGGCGGACTGTTTGGCCGGCAATGTTGGGTGTGCGGCTCCACCTCGGCGACGACGGCAAATTAAACTCTGGCCGCCGATTGGTAACTGCAATCAACGACCATGTAATTGGAGGATGACCTCAGTGACGACTCTTGCAGTTCGTGAGCGGCGCAGGGCCGGAGCGCAGAAGAAGAAAGAAAAGCAACGAACAAGATATTCGACAAGGAAGATGATAGATTAGGTTTAAAGTTGATACATATTACAAAAATACCGGATGTACAAGTACACCCGATTGTATAATATACGCACTCCAGGTATAGCCCCCAACTTTATTTTTTACGGAGTATGTTTTTGTTACGTGGTTGGGTTTTGAGAAGGTATGTCTTCGCGGGAGAGGTTTTTAGTTTATACCCTTCTTCCTTTTGTACTTACTATTCTTTTAATAAAATATAGTAAATGTTTCCCGGCGTTTGCCCGACTGACTTAGGTGGTTTGCCTACCGGGTTTAAAAAAAATAGCCAAACTTGAAAAATGCTATCACGCAGTATTTAACACTTTATAATGTCAAACACGCTAGTAATTACTCTGAGTTAATTCCCTTACCAGGAGTAAAACATTACAAAAGTTCAAAACTGCTAAAAGTTAAATGTTCCGTTCATTTTAAATCTTTTAGAGATATTACAGGATTTTCATACAAGGTTAGAAACATAGAGATCGACATGATCAAATTAAACTTCTATTTGTCTGTTACATGGTTAGCGACTTTTGCGGCTCATTTGTGGATGGCAAAGTCTAAATTTAATCATAAGGCTTCTGATTGGGGCTATTTGAGGCTATCGTAATAATGTTTGAGTTATTAATTTTAATATAAATAGTTTTCCATTAACAAAACTATTTTTCATTCGTATTATTTTTCATACATAGTATAATTTTTTCTATTTTATTAATAGAGTACGTAGTATATTTTAAAATACAATTTTCAATAATTATGCAAATTCAACTAATTTAATCAGAACTTAATACTCCGTAATTTTTAATTGAATGGTTGGTCCAGTTAATTTCATTGTTATCAAATTAACTTTTAATTTCAATTCATACATAATTTAATATTCATCATTTCATTTTCATCATTTTCATTTACCCCAATGCCGCAAAGGCTCCCACCTACGGTGGAGTAAGGGGGGACGGATGTACACAGTCTTACCCCTGTACTAAAGCACAGAGAGACGGTTTCTGGATGACCCAGAGTGAAAATCGCATCCAAAATTGCATGGACTGAATGTTGCTCCATAACAAAGAAGCACAGACAGTTTAGTGAGTCATTTTGCTTTATTCCACCATATTTTCAAGCCAAAAAATAATACAAGTAAATCTTTGGCTCTATTGCAAATGATGGAAAACATAATTTAATACGGAGTATTACATAAAAAAGTAAATAGCCCAAAATTTTACATATTGAACATATGATTGTCTATTTGCACACATAAATTGTATACATTTTGTGTACGCACTCTAAATGCTTTTATAGACAGACAACTTCTGAACGAGCAGTCTATGTACACAAAATGCTTGTCACTTATGCAGGGGTGTTCATTCGGTAATACCGAACCGAACCAAAATTTCGGTAAACCGAAGTTTCGGTTATGCATTTTCACATACCAAATATCGAGCCAAACTAAATCGGTTTGGCTCGGTAAAAACCGAATAAAATCCAGTTCGGTAATTGGCAAGCATATATTTACTAAATATTTATGTAAATATTTATAAATAAATATTTAAATATATTATATACAATATATAAATACTATGTATATTATATATAAATATATGCTGACAAAAAATTACTCCCTCCGTCCCCCTAAGTTTGGGACAAAAGAAGGTGGCACGGTTATTAATAAAAGTGGATTTATGTGGTTGATATTGAATTGATAAAGTAAGAATAAAGTAGGAATGATTTAGATTTTAGAACCACACAAACTTTACCAAATAAGGTATGAGACGATCTTAGTGGGACGGACCGAAATGGTAAAATGAGACAATTATAACGGGACGGAGATAGTATTATATATAAATATATAATACATAAGTAAATATATATAATTATATATACAAATATATAAATATTTATGTATTTTTGGTCAAAATATATAAATATATTATATATTTAATCTGTAGTATTTTATAAATTTCGGTATTCGCCATTCGGTAAATACCGAAAGCCAACATATTTTTATATTTATGGAACTGAATACCGAATTTTCAAAATTATACGTACCATTACCCAACCGAAATTTTGTTTCTGTATTTGGTACGTACACAAATTTCGGTATCAGTTTGTCGATATTCCATACCTACTCTTCTTGGGTTCCACCTAATTACGTCCCGGGAAATTATGACATGTGGAGTAAATGATACCTACCATTTCCCGCCGCCTGTCGAATGTGAAGAGAGCAACGATAGCCGTTCGCTTTACAAGCATTCCAATGAAGACATAAACGGGGGAAGCTTGTATAATAGCAATAAAACTGGGAATTCGCTGATAAAGATATGATATCAGCAATTGCATCCCCAATAATTATGGAAACCTAAGCGACTGTATCTCCCACAACTCTGTAAATCGGCATTCCAAACAACTAGGAACAATATATGTTCATGATCAAAATCCAATCTTTCAAATGTTCTGAAGAATTATCACGTATTCATTCTCTGGTCGTGAGTAGGACTGTAGGAGTAGTAGCAGTGGTCGATATTCATCAAGCGTTGCTACTTGGGAGAATGGAATCTCACCCAAGTGCTCCCACAACAGATGATCCATAAGTTGTTCTTAACGTTGCCAGAATGCACGGGTGCTGTTTGAGAGAATGTCACGAAGACAGGGTGGTTTTTAGTAGGCCCCACGGTGATGAAAGTGTGAAATTGATAGGAGTCGTGTTGTATCCAGGAGAGTAGGCGTAGAGACAAGTTGATCCGCGCTAGCGGCAAGGCATGTTAATTTGTTGCAAACTTGCAACTACTGGGAAGTGAGAACCTGAGACTATTGATTTTCTTGAGTACGTGGTGGGGCCGCAGAGGTGACAGCCCCCTCAGTTTGGGTATCACATAGTACTCCGTAGTTATTTAGTCAAGTCTATCATTGATTCATTGTATATTTGCAGCCGTCTCTTTACACGTCAATAACAATAAAAAGGAGCATATAGGTGGGTGGAAAAAGAAGAAAGTTAAAACCCATCTCAGGGCCCTCAGCATCCACCGACTGAAGGTGGACGGTTATATGGTGATTGGGGTATTCACCATTCAGTACTGCAGGCAGGAAGCAGGCCCACTGCAGGTACACACCAAAAGACTGGATCTTTAGCACTCTTGAGTCTTTTTATTTTAAACTTAATTTGTATCGTGCTTGCATACATTCACTTCAATCATTACTTCCTGGATTTCTTTATTCAAAGATCAAATCTTTTTTCTCATTGACCACGGATACAAAATATATACTTGTTGTACCCCTCGGGTTTTTGCATGTATTTGAAGAGGGAAATTGAGAAACCCCACCTTATATACTTTTATTATTTATTTATTTTAAAAGTTAGGTTCGGCTTTAAAGTGGTGTTTGCCTTTGCAGCATCACGTGCTTTTCTTTTCAGATTCATGGGCTGATAAAATTATTACTATAATTCGTAGTATAGCTCAAGAGGTTGAATAGTATGTCCCATGTGCAATTTCTTGGTGTAAATGCCCAATCGAGCACACACAAAAAAGAGGTGGGTTCTTGGTTTTCTGGGACAAAATAAATTTGATGTGTGAATGAGGAATAGAGAATCAAATATAATAATCTTGTTAAGTGCTTTTTGCATTATTGAAGTTTAGTTTTTACTATTTTTGTTGCTTTGACTCAATACTGTTTTGTGTATTTGGGCCAAGTGTAGGAGTAATGGCAGGGGGGTATGAAGATGAAGAGGTATTTGGAGAGAGCCTAAGGGAAAAGCTTGGTGCTACAGCTAGAGATATTGAATGGACCTATGCAATTTTTTGGTCCATTTCTTCTTCCCAAACAGGGTACTAAAACTTATATTCTTACTGAAACTGGCTTTTCTGTTTCAAACAAAGTAAATTAGCTTAAAGTGTTGGAATAATTATTTTATATTGTGTGATTGAACCCCATCTTTTTACCTTAATGTACATTTCATGAATGAATTACTCTTGTATTGGAATCCGGAGAAATGTTTTAATTGTATAAGTAGTAGAATCTAAAAGCATGAGATGACATGAAGTGCTGTGTGGTTGTGTTTAGCTAAGTTGTGAATAAATAATATAAATTAGGGTTCTGGAATGGGGAGATGGGTACTACAATGGAGATATAAAGACCAGGAAAACGGTGCAGGCTACAGAAATCAGTGCTGATCAGTTGGGATTACAGAGGACTGATCAATTGAGGGAGCTTTATGAGTCTCTGTTAGCGGGTGAAGCCAAGCCACAACCAAAGATGCACTCTGTTGCATTGTCACCGGAAGATCTCACTGATACGGAGTGGTATTTTTTGGTTTGCATGTCATTCATATTCAACATAGGCCAAGGGTAACTCTCTTATTCCCTTTCATCTTTCTGCACTTGTGATTTTTTTGGGTATGTGACGGGAAGGTATGGTTTTTTTCGTAAATTTGTTCCCTCCCAAACTTCATTTCTTTTTTAAAATTTAAAGAACAGACAATGACCCATAAATGCAGAGAGCACATTGTACTTGTTCCTAGGGCTGAATATTAGTCCAAAATTGGATCAGACCAGAATGAACAAGATCCAGAATTTAAAAGGAAAAAGTTGGCCCAAAGAGTAGACCTATTTTTTTCTGGCTCAGGACTGGGCAAGAATATTCGAGGTCAAACTGAAGTAATGCAAGACCGGAATCACATTTCTTTAAAATGCTTTTGCTATCTCTTAATCTTTAAAATAAAAATTGACTTGCCATCCGTAAATAAAGAAGAAAAGTGAAGGTGACGAATGTACATGACTAAACGTATGTTGACTATGGTTTCGTTTGTTTTTTGGCTTTTGAGTGGAAACGCCATTCCAACACGCTGCAATTTGCAGCGTGTTTTGTTCATTTGTGTTTAGTGTTTTGGCTGAAACTCCGAAATCCAAACATGCCTTATGTTCCAGAAATGTCTTTAAGAGTATTTGGTTCTGAAATGCTCGTAAGCCGGGGTGGAGTCTGAAGTCATGCTAATGCTCTTTTACATTACTAACCAGGTTGCCTGGGAGGGCACTTGAGAAGAAGCAAAGTATTTGGCTATGCAATGCAGATCAAGCAGACAGCAGAATCTTTACCAGATCATTGCTTGCAAAGGCAAGTGGAGCAATTCTTACCCAAATCTCGTCTAGCCTGCGCAAAAAAGAAGCGTTGTTTAACATTTTGATACTCAATCTCATGACACTATATTTTTTTGTCTTCAAAAAATGCCTACTCTACTATGTATTTACGTTGTACCATACATGGCCATTCAGAGTGCATCTGTTCAGGTAACCATTTTTTTCCTGCATCGTTACTTAGCTTGATCTTTCCTTTCTGTATAAACTTTTCAGCAAATTGCTACTGATTTCAATTGAGAAAGGCATTTTTGTTGTTGATGTTTTTGTGTGATAGACTGTTGTATGCTTTCCGCACTTGGGAGGTGTAATTGAGCTGGGAACTACTGACTTTGTAAGTGAGCTTCAATTTTTTTTTTTCCTTTGCTTCGCGCTTTTTCTTGGGTGATATGTACACAGGTCCCTAATAAAAGTCACGGCTGTGACACTTAACTATAAACCACTCTAGTTAGATGTTTAGTCCCCTACTAGGTGCCCTAAAACTAGCATAAATTTTAGGGTGTATCTGAATCTTCCCAAAAGTTTTAAGACTTATTCACAACAAAGTTGAAACATAACCCTTCAATGATGAATGCTTGCAGTTTTTATAAGTCATAATTGTTCTCTTTAATTTCAAATTTATACTTTAGACAAAACTTGCAAACTTAGCCAAGGCTTGTGCGGCATCGCGGTGAGTTTTAAGTTTTGTTTTTTTGTTTGTTTATAATGAACTACAAATAATCATACTTCTAGTAATACTGTTAATTTTGAAAAGTGCCAACAAAAACTGAAAACAAATATACTTAGGTTAATATTTTTATAAAATTATTCATGAGCTTGTAAATTTTAGACTTCAATTATACGTAGTGCTAGTTTTACTGCAAGACTAATTTATAAATGATAAATTTCTTCGCTTTCACAAAAACTCATATTCTCATGTACGTCATTTACGTAGTAATATTTATCATTTCAATATTAAGCGAGTGTATTGTAATAACTGTTTGGCTGAAATTATTGAGTTGCTGGAATTTTTGAAAGAAAATGTGTTCAGTCTCGGCCAACTAAGTAAATCAGAAACTACTATTTTTAATATCTTGCTCAGTACGATCAAAATAAGCTGAGTAAGGCTTGAAAAATATATGGAGTTCGTGCAAAGGGGTCCATTGATTGCGCCAAATTATTCCATTGCAAATTTGCATCATTTGCAATGGAGCCAAAGGCTAGCTATTTTTCGGCTTGGGAATATGATGGAATAAAGCAAAATGGCTCACTAAACTGTCTACACTTCTTTGTTATGAAGCAATAATCAGTCCATGCAATTTTCGACGATTTTCACTATGGGTCATCTGGAAACAGTCTCTATGTGCTTTAGTACAGGGGTAAGACTGCATACATCCGACCCCCCCTTACCCCACCGTAGGTTGGAGCCTTTGCGGCACTGGGGTGATGATGATGATGAGGTTGCCAAAGAGTGCCTAATTGTTGTTTTTTGCCTCTCCTTTTGCAGGTTCAAGAGGATCTTGGCCTCATCCATCACATTAGAACTTCGTACCTGGACGGTCCTCACATTATCATTTCCAAAGTTCCACCTAATATGAATCCTTTTTCTCCTCCTCCGGAATGTGTCAACAACAATGATATAGGTTTGCCTTACAAGCATTCCAATGATTCATGTATGGTTGAAGACATCAACAGGGAAGCATCACAGCTACAAAATTGGATGTTTGCAGATGATGAAGACGATGTTAGCAATTGCATCGATAATCATTCTGGGAACTCAAGCGATTGTATCTCCCAGAACTATATAAATCGGCATTCCGAACAACAACAACAAGGAATAATCGATGTTCATTATCAATCTGTTCTTTCGAATGTGCTGCAAAATTCTCACCAATTCATTCTCGGACCGAGCTCCCGGAGTAGTAGTGTTTGTGATAGATACTCATCAAGCTTTGTTAGTTGGAAGAAGACAAACTCAACTAAAGGCATAAGCGCTCCACCAGGACCACCACAAAGGATCTTGAAGAAGGTTCTTCTTGATGTTGCCCGAATGCACGGATGCTCCCTTAGAGAATGTCACAGAGAGAATGAGGTTATTAGTGGGCCCCGAGCTGATTTAACTGGTAGGAGCCGTGCTGCGTTGGAGAGCAGGCGTAGAGAAAAGTTGAACGAGAGATTCATGATTCTTGCATCTTTGATCCCTGCTACTTGCAAGGTATGTTTATTTGTTTCTCAAATCAAATCTTTTTACCCCTTTGAGCGGGAAGCTCTATTCTGTGGATTAAAAACAAGCTTAGTTGGGCGAGGAGGCATTACTCATTAGGTGTCGCGATCGGCCCATCAGGCAGGCGCTAGGCAGCCGACTCATTAGGTCTTTCAATTCATTTGTTTAAACATAGTTTGAATATTCACTTTCATTAAACTGCATCTTCTCTCTTAAATTATTTTATTGTATTTATGGAATAAAATTTCTTTGGGAATATTCGTCCTTTATACTCTGCCTATAAAATATAAAGGGAAAACTGTCACAAACTGCCTATACTCGAACTTTCATAAAAAAGTCAATTAAGTCCTTCCATAGGAGGTTCTGTCCGGCCGTCGCGATTTGGGGCGGTTCCCGGTGGAATTTTTTTATGAATGTTTTTGAGCATCTTATTCATCGGGTCTAGTTTACTCATACCAAATGTCAGCTAAAAATTCAATCGGGAACACTTTCAAATTAATTCGTGAAGATAACTGTGCATTTTTGCGTTCTCGAATTAATTTGAATACGTTCCCAATTGAATTTTCAGCTGAAATTAGGTATGAGTAAACTAGACTTGATAAAAATGATGCTCAAAAAATTTCATCAAAAAATTCCACCGGGAACCGCCCCAAATCGCGACGGCCGAACAGAGTCTCCTATAGAAGGACTTAATTGATTTTTTTATGAAAGTTCGAGGACCTATTTGACAGTTTTCCCAAATATAAATGATCTTCACTCTTTTTTCGTACGTCCCAAAGCTATCATCCACTTTGACTGAAAATAGTATGCGGTTGATATTATTTATTTCTCTTCTAAATAAATACCACGTACGAGACAAAAAATTTAGTTTCTCAAAATGTTAACTCAATCTTTATTAAGGACTCAGGTATTAATTGAATATCATGCCATTAGTTGTTTTACTGCTGTTGCTATGAGTTTCAAGTGTGTATTTTTATTTGCTTATTTGAAATTAGATTTACAATCTTAAAGTTTAATCGTCCCTAACAATATTTAAATTATTTTTAGCAATTAAAATTTATAGTTTTAGGTACTACACTATAAGAGTTATTAAGTCGCAAAATCAGAACTAAAAAATAATAAGTTTAATTTATAAATTTCGAAATTAAGGGGATGGAAGTTCAATTGACCGCATTGAATAGTGAATAAGCAGTTTAAATAGGGAAGGGTTCAGTATGTATTTATTTTTAAAAAATTATAATTAAAATTACAGTAATTTAATTATACTAATTATTATACCAGTAATCAGCATAACTAAAATATACAAAATTTCTATTCTGTATGACTAGATCTAATTTTTTAGTAATCACTTCACTATTTAAAAAAGGAGTATTTTGTAACAAAAATGTAACTTTTAGGAAATAATAAACGAAGTACTATGTATATATAATTATATATATGAAAGAATATCATTACCATTAAAAGGAAAATATCAATAATAAAAACAAAAGAGCATAATAATAAAAAAGAACCTAGTCTTCTCCTTCACAATAGCCTATTGTATAGGACGAGGATTTGTACGATTAGGCTACTTATTATCAGTAGGCAGTAGACTAGCAGTTTGCGGCCTGCTAGCTCAGTAGCTCCCATGCATTACTAAGACGAACGGGAAAAAAATAGACACAAGACTTAAGCTCCAAGTAAAACAGTGAGATTTACTAAGTTTTTGCAGGGTGACAAGATATCTATACTTGATGAGACAATTGGATATCTGAAAGAACTTGAAAGAAGATGTAGAGAGGTTGAATCTCATAAGGACTCAAGAACAAGAGGAGTATCTGATGATGGTGATGATGACAATGACGATGATATGGATAAAGGCAACTCATTGTCACAGAAGGGGAAGAACGAGGATGATATGGAAGAATGCCCACACGACAACAACAAGGGTTTCGCCAAGAATGGTTTAGCTCACGGTGTTAACATTAGCGTAAATGAAGACAATGTCATGATCGAGATGAGGTGTGTTTGGAGTGAGGGAATTTTGATTAAAATAATCGAGGCATTGAACCATATGCATTTGGTTTGCCGTGAAATACAATCCTCCAACACTGATGGGATTCTTTACGTGACTATCAAAGCCAAGGTACTTCTATATGTGAAGATTATTTATCTAATTATTTATTTATTTTTATAATCTAAAGATTAAGAAATATAAATGTGTGTGGAAAAGTGATCATATTTTCTGTTGTGCTTTCCAAACAAACATAAAATAAAGCTACTTATTTCTCTTAGCAAACCACTTCCAACATTTTCCTTGGCCCAAAATAGAGGTGCAAATGAATAAAATCCTTACTGAATAGTTCAAAATTTGAATACATATATGAGATTTGAATCTGAGTATTACTGAATAGAAAAAGATTTTAGAACAATTATCAAATCTGAATCCAAGTATTACATATTCAAATTTGGTGTTCGTTAAATAGAAATTGAAAGACCATCACATTTACAAGATAGAGACATGCACACAACAATGTAAATATCCATATAGTAATTACAAAGTTTATCTCTGCAATTTTTGCACATTTGCTCTTTTATAGTTTAATAATGAATTAATGAATCAAAACTGAATGATTTCTTATTTTGCTGAACTAGTATTCAAATCCTAATATGAGTAAAACTTGTTGAGTTGAATCCAGTTTCCTTGATTTTCGATATTTGGTTTGATTCTTTTACTCCCCTGGTCCAAACACGGCATCAATTCGAATTCCTAACCTTTTTTTGGTCTCTGCTTCTGAAAATGCAGATGGAGGAGTTGAAAGCCGCATCAACAGGTGTGATTACACAGACACTATTGGGACTAACCTGATCACTTTTGTTCCGTTGCATAATGTCTAGAATGCCTTCCCTTAAACTTCTGTTTGTACTGAATGATGTATATGCCAACTTAACCATCTATTATTCTTAGTGAGTGAATTGTTTTTGTTTTTGCAACTTCGGTTGTAACTTATGAGAGCCTCTTCTGGAAAAAATTGTATAATAAAATAATAACTCTAAAGAAAAATTACTTTAAATAATATCAACCAATAATAAATACACGCTTTTAGAAGCGTATGGGAAACTCCAAACCTTGATTTTTTTTTTGACACCAAACCTTGATATTTCTATTTCGTGAAGTCTACATAGGTTCAAGAACTTGAAAACTTATTTCCCAAATTAAGAAATGTTGGCTATTTTTTCATAGGGAGCAATAATTATTTGTTGTGCAAATTTTGAAATTAACGTATTTGAGAGGCACTTCCTCCGTCTCATCACTCATGTCAAGGTTCTCTGTGTGTTTAGCAATACTTTTCTGGGAAAAGGTGCAAATAGGCCCATGTACTAACCAAAAAAGGTCAAATAAGCCCTTATTTAGGAGGCTCTGTCCGGCCGTCGCCATTTGGGGTGGTTCCCGGTGTAATTTTTTTATGAAAGTTTTTGAGCATCTTATTCATTAAGTCTAGTTTACTCATACCAAATTTCAGCTAAACCTTCAATCGGGAAGGCATTCAAATGAATTCTTGAAAATAACTGCGCAGTTAGAAGCGCAATTATCTTCAAGAATTCATTTGAATGCCTTCCCGATTGAAGTTTTAGCTGAAATTTGGTATGCGTAAACTAGACTTGATAAATAAGATGCTCAAAAAATTTCATCAAAAAATTCCACCGGGAACCACCCGAAATGACGACGTCCGAACAGAGCCTCCTAAATAAGGGCTTATTTGACCTTTTTTGGTTAGTACATGGGCCTATTTGCACCTTTTCCCTACTTTTCTCTCATAAAATGTGTATTAATTACGGAGTAATAATTAAGATTTATATATTTAGAGACTGATTATGTTTTATTATAAATTGTAAAACATAAATTCAAAGACGATTGAAGTTTAATGTCTTAAATAAAGATTAAACAGAGTTAAGATGACGGTTAGAATTGTGTATGAGAACCTTGAAATGAGACACATAATAAATACCCCTAGCTATTTGGCATTTTAGCAAGGCAAGCTCCATTTTTTGTGATTTGTTGATACAGTTTGTATTTTTAACGGGATTTTTAATTATTAATGGGATTCTTAATAACAACGATATTTTATAATTCAATGCTTTGCTATTACTCTAGACATGGCACAATTTGGCAACAAATCTAAATTGTATATGTGTTGCCGTTATTTTGAAATGGTACCACAATCATAAGCTAGAACCGGAAATAATTTGAAATGGAATTGGTTGACTTGGATGAAATTCTAGTTTTACTATGGGTTGTTTACTTGTTTAGAACTGATTTTACTTCTACTTCTTTTTTAGAAAAAGAAACCGAATTAGTTTTTCAGAAAGTATTCTCTCCCAACTTTTAAAAAAATGCTTTTATGAGCAATTTGGAGCAGGGTTCTAAAAGGCTCCAAAAGGCACCGCATAGGCACGCATAGGCGCCAGGCGCGGACCAAACGCCTCTCATACACCGAAGGCGGGGTCAAAGGCTTCTTCAAGCCATTTAAGCCATGAATTAGAGCCTTGTAGGGCCAAAATAAGCCCAGCAGACTACCTAATTAAGGCTACTGTCATAGGCCCATGATAAGGCTTAGCTTTTAGTAGGCTGTTGTTGAAACGCAAGAGTGATTTCAACTTATAGAGTCCGGAAGGAATAATTTTACTCTTCACATCCGGTGTGGGTGAACGGAAGCAAGTATGATACGGAGTATTGCTATCTCGATTTCAATAAGTGTTGCACTTACATTCATTTCTAGCTTGCTTAAGTTGTCTTTTTCTCAGCTTTATTTAAATTTACATTACTTCGTATTATTGGGCTCACATGACAAAAATTATATTTAATCAATGATTATTTTTATTGTATTATCTCTATTATATATTAATTGTATGTTAGCATTATATTACGCAGTACTATTTTACTCTTATACAGTTACACTACGACGTATGTTTTTATTCGGACTGTAATTTGTCTCAAACCAGAGCAGACTTGAATAGTTATAAAAATACAAAGAAACCAGATCAAACCAGTAAATTACAGTCCAAGTAAAAACATCCTTCATATAGTATGCTTATTGTTGTTATTACTTATTAGTATTGAAATAATTACATATACCTAACGATGCGTTAAGTATTATTTATTTATCATTGAACTACTTTTTCAGTTCTATCTTTTGTGTAATTGGTAATTTGTACTCTATATTGGTTAGATTTAGGACTTGACTAATCTTTTTTGTTGAAAATGAGAAAAGTGTGATGTTTTTAAATAACATAATTTAATATTAAATTTAAAAATTTAAAATAATTCTAGGAAAACTTAAATAAAGGATAAAAAATCAAAACGCTTTTTCACGCCTAAACCCCGCCTAGGCTCCAAAGGCTTAAGGCTTGGACGTGCCGCCTCGGCACGCCTTACGCCTTTTAGAACATTGATTTGGAGTACCCAAGAGATACTTCTACACTTGCACACAAACACTCTAATATTTGTTTCTGCCCGCTCAATGAACAGAAGCAGTTTTAAAAAAAGTGATCCAAACACCCCCTATTTACTCCTACTCGAAACTGGAACAGATTAGCCAAGAAACCAAACCAGCACAGCAATTACTACACGGTACTTGAACTAGCTCCGAGGGAATCATCATTTAAGAAATTCCGCTCAAACTCACCTTGGTTATTTGAATTTAAGGGGCCGTTTGTTTTTTGGCAGTTTCACACCAAACCGCTGCAAAGAGCAGCATTTCCCTTTGTAAAAAGTTGGTGGTTTGGCCTAAGCCGCTGATATCCAAACAGGGGCTAAGACCTCTCACGTGGAGAGGAACCCGAGTGTAGCCACATGAAGATGATATTGAGTATGGAAGACGATCCACTTGAATCAATCTCACCTCTCATATGAACTTCCATCCCTTATGGATTAGAAATTGGACATAGTGGGGTTCCAACCCAATCAAGAGGCTGACAATTTGGCATACCTCAAAGAATATATATGTAACCTTATGGGTGAGAATATAATGACAATTTCACATGAATGTTGACACTACGGAAATATGGGATAACCCATAATGTCCGGTAGCAATCCTCTAAAACTAACATACTAAGATTGACAATATAACGATACTTCTTGGTATAAATCATTCCAAAACTCTCTGGTTTCACTAACACCAGAGATTAGTCATAAATCACAATGGAAGGATCATTCCCATTCAATGGTTGATGGAGGCTTGGATGTGATATCTAGAAGGACTCGGTTCACTCCCCGGACACCATTACATATTTTTCTTGACACTTCATCGAGGAACTTGAATTCAAAGTAGTACCTGAAATTTGAAGTTTCAATAAACGAATTTACATCAAATAACCCCTTATTTAGAGAATGCAAAGAGAAGAACAAGGTATATATATAGATATATATAACAGATACTCATTTGGTCAAAAGAGTGCGATATCTAATCCTTTTTTGTCTCAAAAAGGAAGATAATCTTTCAAGATAGGGCAACAAAAGTTACAACATAAGAGATAGCTTTCTGAATATAAAAGTATCATTTGTCACTTGTAACCGCTATGCTTTTACTGAAAATAAAAAATTGTACATTGGTCAAATAGAACACTTAAATGGGATGTAGGCAGTATATAGCAATAACAATTTATGACAAACAGCACATATAATTTGGGTATAGGCCCTCCCATTTAAACCTTTAAAAATATGCTTCATTATATATACATTAACCAATGGAGTTTTTGTAAAACAAATTGGTAATGAAAATGAAAATAGCTCATATACATCCTAAAGACCTAAACTAAGAGTTGCAATTTTATTGTACAATAAGAAAAAATAAATAATCAATATGAATATACGATAGAAAAAGTACCAGTCTGCAGTCATTCCATCTTGACTAGTTACTGCCCTAAGTGCAACAGCATGAGAATGTGTTCTTTGATCTCCCTGAACTCCCACTGTTTTCACTGGCAAAAACACAGCAAAAGCTTGCCAGATATCATCATAAATCCCAGCTTCTTTGATTGATTGAATGAAAATCTCATCCACCTGGGGAAAAAAGCCAAGAGAAATTATAATGGTTATGAAAGTAGGAAATTAAATAAAAAGGTTTCTAGATAATTCATTAAGAATAAAATTCAATACTACTACTCTGGAGCCCTAAAAATACCAAGGTAAGAACATACAAAGGAAAACAGTGGGGGTTTTGGAAGGAAAAAAATTTGGGAAATGCAAAAAGAAAGAATGAAATCAATTCTAAATAAGTTGTTCAATTTCATTTTATTAATATATGGTTGAGTATTGTACAAACACTGAAAATATACATCTGTGTAAGTTTTAAAAAATCTTATCAAAACAGATTTTCGTTTTTACAAACATCAAAAAACTATTTTCAGTGGCATTTTTTCTCCTTCCCTACCATTTCATGGGCACCAAACACAGCCTTAGAGTTTGAATAAAAGCTCTTATCTACCTGGCGGAGAATTTCCAAGGCATTTCCTTCTGTGACATCACCTGGAATTCGAACAGCGAGGCCAGGCCCAGGGAAAGGGTGGCGTTTCAGAAAAGCCACCGGAATATTCAAAATCTTTCCCAATTCACGAACCTGTCAATCATTTGAAGCACCATATAAAATATTTACGAGATCATCTTTTTCATAATATTAATATTAATTATTTAAATAACACATCAACCAACAGAACGAGTGGTGCACAAATGTGAAAGGAATAGTAGAACATGGTTTCTGCTCAGAACAAATGGAATGTTCAAATGTAAAAAAGATGAAGTAATAGAAATGAAACCTCATCCTTGAAGAGGAGTTTTAGTGGTTCAATGAGCTTCAACTTCATGTCTTTGGGAAGCCCTCCGACATTGTGATGGCTCTTAATTGTGTGGGAGTGTGTCCTTCCACTGCCTGGTGGGGGGCACGACTCTATCACATCTGGATACAATGTTCCTTGGACCAAGTAAGTAGGTTTCTTCCCTAATTTCTTCTCCAAATCTTGAGCAAACTGATCAAATATGCAGATGAACTCCTTCCCAATTATTTTTCTCTTCATTTCCGGGTCCACAACACCTTTTAGTTTGCTTAGGAATTGCTCTGTTGCATCAACACAAGTTACAGGTA